CCAAGAAATAAATTATTAAAACAAAAGTTCCTCTAAGACGCTTTATTTATTTATGCCTCAGGTCTCAATCAATATCTGCATAGTGCTTTCCAGTTTACAAAATATTATTTTTTCACGTGTTTTTCTCCTACGTGGAAGGTATCTTTCCTTTCATCAGTTTTTAGGTGAGAAAACAAAGGTACATAAAGTTAAGTGACTGACTTAATGCCATTCAAATACTAAGAGTGGGGCTGTGATACAACTTATAACCTGATTCCTTCTACCATTTTTATTGCCGACTGCATACCTTATAATCATACTCTGAGCCAGACAGTGTTAAATAATTATGTCTGTAATCACGTGTGATAACTTCTTAAAACAATTTTAGGATAAATTATTTTTGATTCATTGTCAAAATACAGTAAAAAAATTACTTAATTACTTTATTTAATAATCTCCACTAACTGATTCCTCATTCCAGCATAATCTCCTTTGGAATCCTCAAAGACCAATAAAAAGTAAGCTTTTTTGAGAAGTAATTAGATCAAATGAGCAAGAAAATGGCTGATAAAGTTTTCTTAAAATCATTCTAAGTTCCCCCCGTAATTGCTGAAAGCTTTACTGAGTTAAAGTAAAAGTTTCAAAAGTATACATAAAACAGAATAAAAAGCCCTTATAGTTAGATTTAGTAAAATGGAAATACACTTTAGAATTCCCTTAAAATTTTAAGAATCATTTTGGAAGTAAGAGGAGTTATAAACCCTAAAATTAATCAGTTTTCACATATTCTGTTATTTTTAAACTCCTGGAAAAAAATAAAACTAAAGACACTTTGACTCAAGAACCCTTATATTATATAGCTGGGTATCCTTGAAAAGGATATTAATTTAATAAGAGTGTGATTTATATTCTTAGTTGATAAAAGTGTTAGGTTAGATTAATGGTTTTTAATTGAGAATGTATATGAAATTCCTAGAGAGATTTTTTTTCAAAATAGACTTGCTTGAAGCTTCTCCCTGGATATTCTGAAACACCCACAGGCTGCGGAGTTAGATGTGTGTTGCATGTTTTTTAAAGAGCACAGGAGCAAGGGTGGGCATGTAGTTCAAATGGCTTAAAATGTTTTTTTATTTTCTTTTTTTTCATTTTTCCATATATAGATTCCTATAGTTAAAATTTTTGAAATTGGGTAATAAGTACATGGAGTTCATTATACCATTCTATTTTTGCAGGAAAAACTTTCCAAGTGATTCTAATGCACATTCAGTATAGCAGTGCTTCTTAAAGTTTAAGGTCGCCAACAAACCTGGGGATCTCATTAAACACCCTACTGATGTAATAGGTCAAGGACACCTGAGAGTCTGAAATTCTAACAAGTTCTCAGGTGATGCTGATACTGCTGGGCCACATTTGAGTACCAAGGCCTTCGAAAACCACAGGACAAGATGCCTACCAGCCAGAATACCCTATTTCCCAAGCAGGTCATAGGACAGAGTTTCTCGGCCATCATTTAGTAAGTAAAAGTATAAAGCAAATCATGTACTTTTTATTAATATATAAAAATGAATAAGAAAGTATCCATTACCATGTTTGAAAAATACTGCTCTAATTGTCAGTTGAACTCATCTATGAAATAAAGTGCCTAGATTATGATGCAAGCCGAGACTTAAGCAGTTGAAATGATATCTACTATCCAACAGATCTAGTGTTTACATATTAAAGAGAGCTCTGTATCAGAAATGTTCTGTCATGTTCCTTCCCAGAGGCTGTCATGGTAAAGTTTATTATCAATTATTGCTTTACAAGTATAAAATAAGTTAAGCTGTCATAATTTTCTCAGCCAGAGTTCCTAAACTGTCAAAGAATGTCAATTTTTAACCTGACATAGAGAAGAAAATTATCTGTTATTCTGACCTCTAATTTCTTGACATTTTAATGCCATAATTGCTGTGGTTAGTGCTGCTTCAAGATTTCACCTGTCAAGGGAGAATGAATCAATCACTATAAGCCATTTCTCAAATTATAGAACTAACTTCAAAGCTCAAAGTTATAGGCAGATTGTAGAATATTGTTTTGACAAAGAGAACATATGTAGACATTCATATATTAAATATTTCCCATCTAAAATAAGTATTTCACTTAAGCATTGCAAACATCATCTTCCTTAGCCTAGGTGGAGTTTAGTATAACTGTAATTAGCCTTCCTTTGGCTTAATCTATGTGAAATGTGCAATCTTATATTTAAAAAATAGTAAGATAAACATTATCAAACAAAAGGATGTACTGAGCTCAATGAAAGGGTTACTATTTTAAACTTTGCATTTACCAAAAACCTATGTCTGACCACGTAGGGGGTTCAATTATCTCAAGTCAAGGTACAGCAGTGCAGACCTCCAGGAAGGATGTTTTAAGAAAGAGGTATGTGCCTCCCACATGGTCTACTCACAGAGGTTATGTACCAGTAAAGGCCCAAGAAGACCACCGAATAATGAATATGCTGTACTTCAATTCCACTTACCTGCAGGTTCCTTCTTGTGCCAGTAGATGCTAAGTGCTTTTACGTTTTAGTTCACCTTTACAGACAGAGCAATTGAGGTAAAGTGAGATTAACTTGGCCACATTTACCTTGCTCACAGGATTCTGGTGGCTTCTCACCCGTGGAATGATACTTTTCAAGTTCTTAAATGTTAGTACAGAACGTTTTTTGTGCGAATGTTAGGTTTTAATCGGCCAATTGGCACTGACATTAACTGGAATACTTTAGAGGGGGTAATGGTGGGGAGCAGGAGAGGGGAAATTAACTAGTATTCCTTGAAATCATTTAATAATTTATATCTACACTGCACTAAATGGCCCCCTAGTGGTAGCAAGGAGATAAAGTATCTTCTTAAGCAGACTTGAGTCCACACAGATCTGTATGGTCAGGGTAAGTTCCCGGCCTCCGTGTGCTCAGACCCAAACGCTGACGTGGGGAAGGCAGGTAACAGTATTCTGCGTATGCTGCTCACAGCTGGTATTCCAAGAACTAACATAAAATTACTGTATTGGAAGGTGGGTAACGAATTTGGCAATAAAGAAGGTAAATAAGACAGTATGATTCTGGGAGCCCCTCTAATGGAACCGCAGTTTCTGGTAATTATGTGCTCAGAATGAGAATGTTGAAGGTAGACAGAGTCTTCGGCTAAGGCACCCTTGCGATTAGACTGCATCTCTGTAAGTAATAAGAAGCTGTAATATTTTGTTTACGTCAGCTATACTCTATGCAAACAAGGGCTTGACCCATTCTCACTCAGTAACGCCAACATTTAATCATGCATTTTCATGTACTATTTCATTGGGAAGTCTTAGAGTTTGCCAATAAGTCTTACATACATTTTTTTTCACTGTTCAAAACAATGTTGTGATATTTTGTAGGAACAAGTATTTTTATAAGATTCAAATAATACACTGTATATAAAGAAAACCCTATTTCCAAGTCCATTTTCTTTTTATTCTTTGATTTGTCATTTTAACCCTTATTTAAATATGAAAAACTGCTATTTTTCTGTCAATTTTAATGCAGCCGTGCATTTTCATCCTATATGAATGCTTAATATACTTTTATTTTGCAGAATTAACTTGCAACTTTCTTTATAAGAACACAGAACTTTATGATAAGGGATAAAAATGTAAATATTAGAGCAAAACCATCTATGATATTTAAAAGTTAAAAAACAATTTTCAGTTGATCTTAGAATATAATTACTTTCTTTTTCTCTAATTCTAAAAGGTATTGGTTCTAAAAGAAAATTTTAGTTTGTAAGAAATTTATAGAATAGGCATGTGTTAAGCAAAGGTATATAGTTAAGAGAATAATCAAGCTCAGGAATATCTCCTGCTGAATAATCTGATTACATTTTATACACAAGTGGGGACACCAGGTTGGGTGAGTGTAATGGTTACACTTATTTTACCAACCAATTTCATAATACCTGGCTTCTCATTCCTTCATTCTGTCTCTGCATTTTTCTCTGGGCTTCAGGCAATAATTTTATTTCCTTGCACATACAATATGGTACAATGTTGCCCCTAATAACATGCTTGCAATGTGTCCTCAGAATGTTTAGCCCTAAGGGTCCAATGATCAATGACCACAAGGCTCTTTGCTTCTTTTTCCTCTTCTCTGCTTGGAGCCACACAAATGGAGTTATTTCAGTTTTATAGGGTACATAAGAAGTAACATTAAGTATGCAAATTTTTTAATAGAGCTTCATTTCTCAAATCTACAAGTTTTCCACTTCTAAAATTAAAAATAAAAAAATAAAGAGAGCATTCCACTGCCTGGAAATGTAGAAAGGATTACTTGTTTTGCATATGGCAGATGGCAGATATCTGGTAGAAGGGAAGACTGTGAGATAGCTTCCTGCAGCAACACTCATGTAACAGCTGCCACAGCTTTACTTTTCCACCTATGTGAAATCAGTTTGTGCAACGTGGATGTGATTTAAATAATTATGTTATATGAATATTTTCACAAAAATACTATACACATAGTATATGGTACCTAATTCCCAACTGTTAGCTATAAACATTTCAGGTTGAAAACATACGGGAATAAATTAGAATAACCATATCTATTTCAATTAGGTAATTTTTGAGCATTCTATCCTGAAGGTTACAATTTCACTTTTATTTTTAAAAATATCCACATTGGCAGATTATTTTATTGTGACATTCATATTTAAATATTCAACAAGGTTTCATTCATTAATAATACAGAGAAAGCATTAAGCATTTTAATGAAGATTCTAAAGAAAGAAAAATAAAATAGAGGCAAGGAAGTGCATTAAAAATGGCTGCCATTCAAAAAGGAACCATGTACTGGTCTCATTAATTGTTTCTGATGTATGTTTGCTTTTCCATATTTGTCAAGAGCCTGAAACCTAAATTTTGTGAAAAGTAATGTTGAAAGGAGATATAAGTCAAATTTTTGTTTGAGAGATGACAGAAATTTTTGGAATAAAACGAGACCTAACACCTACCTCCCTAAGCACAGGATCGGTGATACTATCCAGGTTCACAGAGCCTTCGTAGGTCAAGTAGTGAAAAACATTCAGGGCACGGACCGCTTCTGGTCCTCGCTGCTTGTAACCAAATATAAGGTCAATCCACTGATGAAGTTGGCAAGAAACAAATTCACTTTCCAGGGCCTGAAATGAGTTAAGAAAGAAATGAGAGAACCTCCAAATTGAACAAAACTTCATGTCTTCTTCTTTTTTTTTTTTAACTTTGCAATATTCTATATAAAAAAGGAGAAATATGCTCTTGACATTTTTATATTTGATCTACATATATCATAGAAATGGCAAAATACTATCTTTAATAAAACCAGACCTAAATGAAAATTATCTCTTTCTAACATGCTAAGCTTTCTCTTGGCTCCATTATAGCTTTAATTTACAATATAAATTTTATTAGTGTTTTAGAGATAGGGTCTCGATCTGTTGCCCAGGCTGGAGTGCAGTAGCATAATC